TTATGATGATTCAGCAGCCAGAAATCCAGAAACGCATCTCTTTAAATTGTGCTTTTAAAACTGATTTTTTTGACGTAGAACTACGTCTTTGTCGACTATACTGGGGTGCAAATCAAAAAATATGTGGGGTGAAGGAGTGTTAGGTTTTGAACGCTTGTAACTTTGTCATTTATAGATGAAATTTAAATCCAAATACACCAATCGATAGGATATTACATTACAAACCTGCTGAAATACATATTTTTTTCCAATTTTTCTGTAATTAAATTTTTGAAAATGTACAAATGATAATTTTATCATGAAATAAGCCTTTTTCCCAAACCCAGTCATCATAAACGAATACCACTTGGTTGCACATCATTCTGCTTGAACCTGAAAAGATATAAATCAGCGCTGCTCTCTAGTCTCTGCTCATTACCGCTTCGGACGGCGTGGCACTAGGTCCTGCAGCAAGCAGGACCAAGTCAGCTGCCAAGGTGGATCACGGCGTGTCCACCCCAATGAGGAATGAGACTTGAAAAAAACATGCATGTCAAACCCCCTCCCCCTTAACAACCTCTCCCCCTCCCCGCCTAACATAAACCGAAAAAGACTTTGATGATCATTTTTTTCTGGGAAATAAATTTTAAGCAACCCACAATTATGTATAAACAATTAATTTTTTACATACAGAGCCAACATTTTCAAAAAAAAATTGCACAACATGAGACATACACTCGATGAATTACCAACAACTGACTGTAAAACATATCTGGTACCTCTATATATGCAATTATATTAACATCCAAAGTCCATCCTTTTTTACATATTCTGCACAAAAGAAATTTTTGCTCCGCCCCAATCATAAAAAAGGCGGGAAATCCTATCAGGTTCGGTTGCACATCGTTCTGCTTGAACCTGAAAAGATATAAAACAGCGCTGCTGTCGTGCTTTTGCTCATTGTCGCCTCGGACGGCGTGGCACTTGGTCCTGCAGCAAGCACACACAACTGACTGTAAAACATATCTGGTACCTCTATACATGAAATTATATTAACATCCAAAGTCCATCCTTTTTTCCATATCCTGCACAAAAGAAACGTTCTGCCCCGCCCCCATTCATAATAAAATGGCGGGAAATCCTGTCAGTTGCGGGGCTTAGAAAGTATGTTTTGTGCAGAATATGTAAAAAAGGAGGGACTTCGGATGTATTTTTTCTGCAAAATATGTAAAAAAGGAGGGACGTCAGATTTTAACCTAAATGCATATATCATGCATCATAGATAGAGATAGATAGATAGGTTCTACGTCATACTGCGGTCGTGTCTAGGACACAACCCTTTATTTTTTAATTTAAGGACATCTGTACGCTCAATTTTGAGATACACTGTAGTTGAAGATGCTAATTTCAAATAACAGACTAAAGTGGTAATTTTTATACGATAAATGAGGAGATGAGATAATAGAATTGATAGTTCCGTTAGATTACGGCAGTGTGAAAATTGCATATAGAGAGTAGAAAGCGAGCAAGGACAACTTTAGGAAGGTACAAATCGGTTTGATCATCTCTTCACAAAGGGATTCCGTTATTGAGGCTCGACGAATTGAAAAGGTGTATGCTGGTCACAAATGCCTTTGCCTGAGAGGAATAACCACAATGCATGCATTTAGCTGGCATGTAGCCATTTTTAGTTCCGTGACCCCATCCCTTTCACTTACGGCACTGGGTGAGGTTTTGGAAATTTCCTCCAGTCTTCCTGAAGTGTTCCCAATTCATTCGGACATGGAGCAAAAGGCTAGCTTTTTCCAAGACCTTAATGTTGTTTAGTTCACTAGACTTGAAGTGAACTAAATGAAAATCATTAGAAATCCCGTTCATCTTTGATCTGATCCAGGGATTCACCCGTGGGCAGTCCTTTCAAGATAACCTTGAACACACGTTCAGTTTTGTTGTCGTAAGTAAAAAAATTATGCTACTTCTCAGTAAGATACTTGAAAAGACGTTTAAATCCGTCCAAGGTTTCAGCCAATACACGGCATTCACCTCGACAGCCAATTTGCAGTGAAAACTTAAATTTCACGAAGTTCAAAAGTTCCGTGCGAAGAGCATGGAAATCGGAAGTGGTTATCACAACAGGGGGATTTTTTTTCTTTCTTGGCATTAAACCGGGAAAGTTTACTAGAATTTTTCTTGGATGATGGATCATTCTCATCATCCGTGAGTAAATCAAATTGATGGCTCTAATTAATTTCATCAGAAGGGGGATCAAAAGTTTTCTCTTTTCTTTTGCACTTAAGCCAAAGATGAATACTAAGATGAAACTGTCGGAAGAAAAACTTTCTATTTTAGTGTCTTCTTTCACGGTCCCTTTCATCCAATGAGAACCCCCCGTATTCAAGGAAATTTTGTGGTTTTGCTGCCCCCTCGGAAGAGATGAAATTTTGCGCTCATTTTTATCAAAACAATCACACCAAAATCAGAGATGTCCCATTGTTTAATTACTCGATTAACAACTAATCGATTATTTTTTGTTCGCTGTGCTGCTATTTTTCCACCAATGAGAGTGCAGCACATGTTTGAAACGATCGGTGATGATCCTGTGGAGATGTTAATGCTTATATCGGCATGATCTAACCGATTATAAATAGTTTACTTTTCGGTTCGTTAATCGATTAAACGATTATTCGAATGAAAATCGGACATCACTAGATGAATGTGAAACGTCATTTCAAATATAAGGCCGTTCATAAATAATGATACAATTTGAAAGGGACCGGGGCTAATCACAAATTACGTCTCCATGGTAACTGAAATAAACACGAGTGTTCACCGGTTGCTTAAGCGCCATGGCGGCAGTAATTTTTTTTTCTAAATCGACTTCCAAGCAGATTACTATAAGAATCTGAAGAGGAATTTTCCAAATCGATATCCAAGAACGATTACCTCGGGTAGGGTTCAAACAAGGATCGAAGAGGAATGAGAGTCAAACAAGGTAGACAATTTACAGGTATATTGAGCACTGAAATTTCTGTTTAAATTTGTTGTAGATTTAGGTAGTAGTAACACTTCATACAGCAAAAAGCAAATAGATCCGCACGGCAAGATGCGGACTGTGAAAATCCACCTCTTGCTTTTGCTTGCTGCATGCCACGCCGTCCGAAGCGGAAATTAGCAGAAGCACGAAAGCATTACTCAAAATGGCGTGTTATAATGCAACTCTTCTTTACTTCTCTCGTCATGAGAAACGTAGTCATCTCAGCTAGCTAATACATTATCGCACTAAATCTGCAACTCTGAAAATCCCAAACTTCACGTATTAAGAAACAAAACACTTTGATTGAATGTAATAACTCAAGGCGGGAGTAACCGTCAACAATTCTGATAATGGTACAGCACGCAACACCACCCTACTGCTGCTCTATGAGATGACTACGTTGGTCGAGAGAAGCTAAACAATACTGGATCAACAATAGAAAAGGGCCCAGCAGCATTTGTAAATAAACCGTTCCAAAGCCCATTCCTCACAAATCGAAGGCCACTCACGCAAACCAACACCATCATCGTGTAGGTAGAAGTTTCCCCTATCCGATGATGGTGTTGGTTTGCGTGGGTGACCTTCGCTTTGTGAATAAAGGGCTTTGGAACGGTTTGTTTACAAATGCTGATGGGCCCGTTTCTATTGTTGATCCAGAATAGTTGGGTAAAAAAGAGTTGCATTATAACTCTATAAAAATAACACATTATAACAAGTGCCCATAGTGAGGTTCCTTGGATGTCTTATGGTTTGAATCAAATTGATTGGACATTAATCATTGTAATGGTGATATTGAACCTACTACCAATTAATTTGTTTCGAGCAATTAAAGGTTTGGGAATGCAGTCCCTGCATAAAAAAATCTGGGTTGCATCAATTTTTCTCGGAATTTATTGATGGTATAACGTGATGATTATTCTTGCATTATTTTTTCAATGTTTTTTTTTTCCATGACACACAGTTTTTAAACGCATTATGTGGTATAGCTAGCCAACCAGCAATATAGAGAGGACAAAAATAACAATCGAAATGTTTCACCTTCAACAGGGGATAATGAATATAAACGACGTCTACCAGTAAATTGTCACCATTTTAAGGTCTATAATTGTGGAAAAAAAATCAAATAAAAAAAAAACTGTGTTTAAATAAAGTATATTTCAGTTTTCTATTAAGTAGCTTCCTGAAACGTGGCGTGTTTAAGATATTTTTTGTCTTGGTAGTTAGTTTAAGGGTAAACGATTTTTTTCATAAATGTTGAATACTTGCGCATGCGCTTGATACCTGAAAATAGCCAGGTTTCCATGCTCTTCCTACTCTCTGCGGCAAGTCAAGCTGTAGATAAAATTCAATATATATATATATATATATATATTTTTTTTATGTATGTACACAGCAAAAAAAGTTGTTGAATATTACATCGAAACTGCTGCAACCAAGTCAATCAATCGGTTGTGTAATATCACATTGTACGATGTACATCGATTTTGCGAACAAAATTACATCCATTGATGTAATATTGTGTCTGCTTTTTGCTATTACATCATTATTTCATACATCAGCTTGAATTACGTTGATCGATATTACATTTTTTTTTGCTGTGTATAGTTTGATTTATTGATGCTACTTTATTATTTTAATTTACTAAACAAGAGTAATGACGCTGTCACGGTATTGGGTTAGTGATACAGATGATTCATGATTTTTCTTGATTGGATGCAATATGCTATAACTTTAGAGATAAATATGGTGAAAATTACTATTTATTCGTTTTTTTCAGGAAATTATGTTTCTCCTTCAGAAATTAATTAAGTTTCCTGAGAGACTTCATGAGTGGAATCATAAAACTCAGTCAAAACATTTGATTTTTATCAATAATCGTCGAACTGAGGCACCGTTGGGATAAAAGCTTTTCTCTCGTTGTTTTCTCTTTGCTCTCTGCCCAGGCTAGAAATAACTTTTTCAGCTACAAATTGTGTGCTGCTCAATATATTTTTTACGAAGACCGTTTGCTCACGCTCCTTTATTTTTCGTTTTAACACTATAGTTCGTCAAAATATTATAGTCGACACGTACTTGCCAAACTATGTGTGTTTTAAGCTTTCACGAATCGATAAGAATCATAGAAAAATAATAGAAATAGAAGGTGCACTTCACAGGATCCATACACAACAAGAGAAAATATTAATTTATAATCTAAGTGAACGCAGGAAACGAAAAAGTTTGCAGTGAGTGCCGACTATTGATGTTACGTATATCGTAATAAATAGGATTTTGGGTGAAACTAAAACGAATGCCCTACAAGTGATACGTTGGTCAATGTGGTAGAACGCATTTTAAAAGACTTCGAAGTGCTGTTACTCTCATCGCTAATTTAATCGTAACTAAATGAAATACATGAGATCGCTAGACTAGCAGGCATAGTAGAATCCTGTAGAAATAAGCGTGCCTTTCATTGACACATGCATTGCGTTAAAAGAATGTGCTGTAAAGTGAAATACAGCAGTTCTGACAAACATATCTAAGTGAATTAGACATAGACAGTGCAGGTTAATAAAAAAATAGAAACGAAGATGGAATAATCATGATGCATGTTTCAATAAAATTCAGGACCCGTTAATACAATTCATAAGAAAATAATAAGCAGATATTATTTTACATTTATTGATACATGCATCATCGGGCTTAACATTTATGATGTTTTTAAACACCATTGTTCCGAATAGTAAGTGCATGTTAGACGAACTGTTGATGGTAAAGAAAAACAATCAGTGACAATGTCTTGGTATCAAGAAGAAGAAGACGAGGATTACCTCCTTTATTCACCTGCCCTGCTGGCACGACGAGCCTCTGAGAGCTGGATAGATACTCCCCCAGTAGAGGTAATTTATATTGTATAATGTAATAGGTATGTAGGTACAGGTGGACCGAAAATATCAATTATAAATAGTCGTTACGATAATTAGAATGAAGTGAGGTGATAGAATAACATCAATTATTATTTGATGCCGTCCTTCTCAACATTACAACCCACTGCTTCCCATTGCTCTGTATTGAGGTACTCAACAACTGTGCCAAATGTGAACGAATTTGATTACGAACGGATTTGCCTTAGAACTTTAAAGTTTGTATGGCAAACGGGATGAAACCAGTCTGCGCGTAAACATACTTGACGTTGAACTTCATTGAGAACACGTGTTCTCCGTCGAATTCATGTTTACTGTACACACCGAACGTAAGAGCAACCGGTCAGCACTATAGAATTCTCTGACGTTTGTGAAATGCACTAGTATTAGTATAGAACTTGGGTTAAATTATAAGTATTAGTGCAAGAAAACCTTTGAATTTACCAAAAGTTGTGCAATTCATAAACGTCAGAGAAGTCTATAGGTACTATAGATTCCATAGATAAGCGGAGGCAAAGTAGAATGTAGCCAAACAAGCATGACGTAATAATGGTGTTTTTTACTACAGAAGTGTTGTAATATTTTTTTTCCTTTGGTTTGTTCTCCTTCGATCATGTTTTCCGTGCTGAGCACCAATGCTACCGACGCGCCAGGAAGGCAGCTCCCACACCTGGACCCTACCTATCGACCCATCAAACTCATGAACCGGGGACCAACGGCTTTACTTCCCTTCTGAAGGAAGGCGTGATCAGAGATGTTATGCCTCAGAACATCCCGGCTGCGCCGACTGGGATTGAACCCAGGCCTGCTGGGGTGAGAGGTAATCACGCTTACCACTACACCACCGGCGCCGTTAAGTGTTGTAATATTATGAGCACAAAGCGCTATTCTCACACCACATTCCGATTTATTTCACGTAAAACGGAAGAAGGGAACCCGGAAAAAAATAACCATACAATTACCATAAAATATGAAACATTCACAACAAAATCTATTTCCAACAATCGGTCTTATTGTATGTATATTATACAAGTAAATTTAAAATATTTCTATTACAATAGATCTACGATTTGTTATTACAATAGATCTACGATACGTCCCATAAGTATGAATTTTCAACTATGGAAAAAAAATTGATGATAAATGGCTCAAGTTTGTTCGGGAAAAAGTGATTTTTTGTATGGTTAAGATACATAACAACCCCCTTGTCCCATTGTAGATTATCCAATTTACCATAGATCCCATTGTGGAAACAATAAATCCTTTTGTCCTTCTATAGTTGAGGACAATACGATTTATTGTAAAAGCAATAAATTCTATTGTATGGTTACAATACATTTAATTGTACCTCAATGGTTCTTTTTTTTACGGGAATACAATGCAAACCACTCCTCGATTCATTGTTGCACATATTTGCACTTTGAACTTTTGCACAAAATAAAACTAAACTGCACAACGAAGACCTATATGATGGCATAAACATTTTTCACGGATGCCAGTAAGATCATTTATGTTTCATGGTTGCTAAAACAACTTTGTGTACCTCCGCTTATCTATGGAATCTATTGCATCTATAGTCAGCACTCGTGTTTTATTCAATTACCGTAGGGACGTAAGTTGTGATGAGCCCCGGTTCCTTTAAAATTGTCTCATTATTTATGAACGGCGCTTATATTTTAAATGACGTTTCACATTCACATCAGTGTGACCGATTTTTATTAGACTAAACGATTTACGAACCGAAAAGTAAAATATTTGTAATCGGTTATGCCAAGTCCGCATTAGTAATCGGTTATGCCAAGTCCGCAAAGGATCATCTCCCTGCATGCATGTTCTGCACTCTCATTGGTTTGAACAATTACAGAACAGTGAACATAAAATAATCGGTTAGTTGTTAATCGAGTAATTAAGAATTGAGACATCACTGATTTTGTGTGTGATTGTTTTGATAAAAATGCGCTAAATATAAACTCTACCGAGGGGCAGGATATCCACAGGTGTTTACCTTGCATATGGAGGGTATTCATTGGATGAAAAGACCGTGAAAGTGGGCACTAAAATAGAAATTTTTTTCTTCCGACTGTTTCGTCAGTATTATTTTTTGGTAGAGCCTGGTGTTGAACGCAGTGCAGATGTACGCAGGGTCAAAACTTCGCATTGCACTCATATTTGAATATTAATGTCTTGCTCAGAAGTATTGGCATAAATAAGGGGGGAGGGGCAGACCTAGGACTGGCCCATCCCAAAGAATTTAAAAAACTGGAACAATCTATTTTTCATTACATGGAGGAATTGCGATATTTTTTCCAGATTATCTAAAATAAACTCTGCTGCGAGTTTGATTTTTTATTAATTACCTATTCACGGCTTATTCTCATTTAAAGATTGGATATACCCATTCGTTTTTCGGATGTCTTAATTTAAAAAAAAAATTATATTCTGTTAAGAAACCTATTTTTATTTTTAAAGACTTTGAAAAACATCTAAATAACTTTATAGAAATTACATTGAACATCCATGGATATCAACTAAGTTCTATAAAACTTATTTGAAGATTCCTATACTTCTACAATGTTTCTTTAATTCAATAGCATGAAATTAAAATAAAGGTCTCTGAATATCTTCCCAATCCATTTAACTCATCGCTGAGCCTATTTGAAGTTCCCTAAGTTTGTGGAAAGGTCTGCGAATTGCGAAAAAATTGCGTCCACTTCTACGAAGTTTTATGAACTTATACAATTTTTTTTTATAACTTACACAAACTACAACTATTTTTTTACCAAGATTGCTGAACATGTAAATATTAAATATAGTCCAGTATTAGTTCAAGACATAAGATTTTTTTATATTCTATACGATTAATTTATTTGTATATATGTTTGTATATCACAGAAACAACTTTTAATATACGTGCATTTTGTTTGTCTGGGTCTGCACATTGTAGACAAAATACGCGTATCTGTCAGGATAAGCAAATAAGGTAGGGGAATTAAATGGAAATTACTAATCCTTCTCTCTCTCTCTCTCTTTATGCAGGTATTCCACTTAGGCACTCACATTAATCAGGATTTTGTAAATATTTCCTATGTCTGATTCATAGTTTCAGAAAATTTTACCAAGATTTCAGAACATCATGATGAATTTCTACTATATTCTTACGCCTGCTCAGAGATACTTCTATTGCTATATTGAATTTGTTAGCAGGCTTCTTTTTTTCAAAAGAGTGCAAATGGCTGCTGTAATATATAGACCGGAACATGCGTGGAAAATGAAACAAAAAATGTTTATTCTGTATCTCTTTCTCTCTGTTACTACCAAATGGGCGATGTTCGTTGCATAAGACAAACATTGTCCGCTCTATATACAGTGTCTATAGAGTGAATGGTCATGCGTGTGCAAAAACTTGCTTAAACATGTGTGCTATGCTGCATCTTGCAATCTACCAACGTAGGATAGTTCAAATACATAGGGTTAACTACCCCATTTCCGGCCTATTAAGCACAACCCGCACTTAGTCTTTCTTAATCTAGCGCCGTTTAGCGCCAAACGGAATGTTATTGTTACTGATGGCTTCCAAATTTATTTACCTTTCCGTATGTACCTTAAGATTTGATAAAGAGAAACCAATCGTTGAGATATTGTCAAAAGTCTAACACTGCTTCTTGACGCCAAACTCGGTCTACGGATTCTAAACTCGGCCTAACGCATTGAAACGCCAATGATTTCACTTCGGCCAATTGGATGAAGATAAAAATGATTTGGGGCCTCCCCTAGCTCAGTCGGTAAAGGCGCAGCTACAAAGCAAGATCATGCTGGAGGTGGTTGGGTTCGATTCCCGGTCCGGTCTAGGAATTTTTCGGGTTGGAAAATGTCTCGACTTCCCTGGGCATAGAAGTATGATTGGACTTGCCACACAATTATACCAATGCAAAAATGGTACAGGCATCGAAAGCTCTCAATTAATAACTGTGGAAGTGCATCTAGAACACTAAGTTGAGAGCACGCCATAAGCTAACATGCGATATGCAATAAGCTTGAAATGCGAAGAAGAAGAAGATAAAAATGATTTGGTCGGAGAGCATTTTTTGGTTTTTGGGAATAATGTGTGCAATATCACGCGTTCTCATTGACTTCGTTCCGTAGCTTATTATGGGGGGAAATACAAGTAACACGTCAAAAACTCGACGATTTTCGTCGTGAGCTAATGAAACAACGCAAACGTTTGGGGTTTTTTGCATTAAATTGCTTAAATTTTCCTTTATATTTGAGATTTTTTTTTCATTGGTGTGTGACCTCTGTGGCTCCTTGGGATCACATCGGAAGGAGGTCGCTTCCGGTGGGGATTGGTAATTGGCGGGCGTTCTAGAGACCTGAAAAATGGACAAAACTTACTTTTATCAATTGGACCTTATTCAGAAAAGATTTTTGTTCTATGTGAACCTCTAAAACCAAAAAAAAAACGATTTAAAAATTTAGAAAAAAATATCTGAAAAAAAGTTGATTATCACTGTTTTTTTTTCCACTTTAGGCAGACCTGAAAATTATTTATTGTAAATTTTTTCATGATATCATTGGTTCACATAGAGTAAAAATCTATTTCCTTTAAGATGCGCCAGGGTTCAAGTCATTTGGATGAGAACTTTTTGAGTTATCTTTCCTGCCAATTTAGAAAACACCGTTTCGAGAAAAACGCGTTTAAAGTTTTGGGTTGTGTAAAAACATGATTTCTGGAACATACGGTTAATCGGCGATACCGGGGCCATAGATCACTCCATCCTCGTGCTCGTAGCATTTTTTAAAAAACTACAAGGGACAGCCCAATGGGGTTGTACGCAATGATGACGTAGGACTACGTGGTATGATATAATAAATATTTTTGTTAACTGATGCAGCAGGAGCTTGTGTTTTGTGAAGGAATAGGAATTTTAGCGGGGTTCTCTCTGTTTATACTCTTTAGTATGACCATAGAGGTAACTCTAAGACCAGAAGGTCCCGAAAATATGTGCTCAGCTTTTTGGCTCAGCTCTGGTACTATCTTCGGTCCCAAGCTAATCGATGATCCCCTCGAAACATAGGAAAATCCAAGAACCCCTCATTTTATCTGTCAAACAAACATAGTGTAGTACTAGAATTTCGACAAGAATGGGATACGTTAATCGTTTGCTTGAGACCAATAGGCTAGTCAAGTAGTGAGCCAATTTAAAATCTTTAGTTTCGTATTGATTGTTGGTATGACTATGATTGCCCTGAAAAAAAAAACTTTTGATATGAATTTTAGTTGGGACATGTTCAGAAAATTAACTCTTTTGGAAAATGTTGGTGGCCCTGAAAAGGGCCGATGGTAGTACAGGCTTAAAGCCTTTGGAAGATGATGATGACGTGTATCAGCTGCGAATTCAGTGACGGCGTCACGGATCACATTTTTTTGGCACACCTTTAGCACACCTCGGGTTTCCTAGTCGACCGGAGAAATTCATTTAAGAAAAGAGTTAGAGTAGAATTTTTAAAGAACTACAAAAATATTTTTCGCCATTAAGTCAAGGCTATTTTTCTTTATTGATGGCGCTGTTCCATTGATAGTAAGTTCAAAATTTGGAAAAGTGGATGGAACGCTTTGGATGCATATTATGGTCAAAATAAGTCAAAAGAAATCATTCATTATCGTTCAGTTTTTTCCTAGAAAGTTTTGATAAATAGTATTTCTTGCAGGCTTTCTTGTCAAAAGGGAGGGAATTTTTATGTATTTTTTATGCAGAATATGCAAAATGGGAGGGACTTCAAATGTTAATCCTCCCTTCCCCGCCAAATGTTACAGAGTGTCATCAAAATGCATGGAATGTTGAGATATTGAGATCGTGAGAGTGAATTTTCTCTTTCAAATTTGAATGTTTTGGCTCTCTGGGGATTGGTAGTAAAGCTGGCTCTCTGGGGATTGGTAGTAAAGTTTTTTATTTAATTCTAGCTTATTTAACAAAAAATTCCAGGAAAAAACTGAACGACAAAGTCCATAAACGGTTGTTGTCAACTTTTTTTGGAAAGCTATGTGAAATTCACATGGATTTCATGCATTACGTATGTGATATATATTTTTGAGTGTATCCCCTGTTTCCAAGTTTGGTTACAAGATTACAACTCTGGAGAGCATTTTGTGTGGTCGTTGGGAGCGTGTGGTTCTGAATATGGCGATGAGTGTGCAAAATATTACGCAATTCCATCCTCTCTATTTGCACGCGCCCAAGGATCGAAGGTGAATGCCACTTCGATTTGTTTCGTCTACTTAGGCTCTGAACCATTTGGTGATTTTTTTTAACTTTTGGTTAAAATTTGACAGATGGAAAGTTATTGAGTAACCCTGCTATCCGAGCGTGGTTATTTCTGACAGACAAGAAGTTAAATGTTGACAACCGTGGCTGAGTTGTTCTCGAAAACCGGTCGATCGACAGCACAGGGATTTTAGAACATAGAGAATAATTTTAGAAATGTCACTTTTAACCACGAGTTAAATTAACTCGGCAAATGGTTCACAGCCTTACTACTCTCTGACGACTGTGCTGGGGAAGCAGCATATGCATGTAGGTTATTGGTCGATTTTTTAGTTAATTTGACGCTTTTAGACAATGCTGGACATTTACCTGTTTTTCAATAGTTTCTTGTTGAAAATCAACATTCGTAAAAATTGTTATCGATGCGTAGCCATATTTCTGATCGATTGGTGATAAAATTATTGAAATTGGACCAGCTGAGTTATTAACGTTCAAAATCTTTCTTAATTTGTTACATGTTCCATTTTCGGTTTTACCAAAGTGTACCCCCATATAGAAATCAAAGAAGTAGTCCTACGTCATTATTTTAAAGTAAAATATGAAAAAATCAATTTTCCCCCTTAACTAAAGTATCGTACCAAACGCATAATTGACTTGTTAACTCTGAAATCATGGTATTTATTTAAAGTTTTCTGCTCGATAGGCCCAAAATGGACGATTAGGCCGAAGTAGTTCTTTACCCTATAAAGTTTTTTTTAAGGGGCAATAAAAATTTAAAACGACTCTAAACGCAGGGGGTTAGGTTTTTAAATTTCTCGAATACTGTCTAAGTAGTTTATGGTCACCTACTTAATCACGCATAAGCCTTCCTTTAGCACAGGATGAGTTCAGGTTTGAACCCCTTCAGATACGGTTGTGTTTTAAGTTTTTTTGTTAACTCTTTATTTGTTCCAAATTCAAAATAAATTACTTTTCATTTTAACCTAGATGCTCCAGCTACTACAGTAACTTACAAGCCTTAATTGTTATGATATATATCTATGTAAGTGTTTTTACATTGTTCCTGTCTTGGTAATTCAGTATTTTAAACAGGTTTTTTAACCTGCATGTCAGTATAACAATTGAAATCTTTAATCTAAAAACTAAAACTAAATCTTATCTAAGTATAAAGGCAATTAATCGTTGCAATTAAGGATTGCAACGATTTTTGCCTGAAATTATTAATTATTTTGATGGAAATTCGTTCTAAAGTCTTAAAATTCGAAATTATATGTACCTCGGTAGTGCTATACCAGGGAGGCAACTTCAAAATCATCTTCAGAACTTTGTTCTGAATCCTTTGAAGTGCTGGTAGTGAAACAGCTAGACCATATTGGCACAGCGTAAAGCATGGCCGGTCTAAAAATTTGTTTAAATATTAGAAGTTTAGTCGAAAGGCAAAGATTGGATTTCCTGTTTATAAGAGGATACAAAATACACGAATGTGCAACTGTCGCTATGATAAATAAAATTATCACCGATTGCCGACAGAGCACCTCAACTCAACAACAGAACTCTCAAACTGCTTCCGAATTTCGACATATCGAACTTTTTCACTGATAACGAGTTAAGACATCAATTCTACGTCAAATCTACGGTCGTGTCTTGGATACAACCTCTTACTTTTTTTAGCGCTTGTGCTCCCGGAACAGAAATTTGAGGCATTGCGAGTGATAGTTTTTTATTCCTGTTTTGAATAGTGTTGTGTCCCGGGCGCAATAATTTGATTTGGAATGGTTTGGGCTGGTGTCTTCCCCCCTTTTACTTAGAAGGATGGTGTAAAAACATAGGAAAATCCACGAACCCCTCATTTTATCTGTCAAACTTTCATAGCGAATCGAAACAAACATAGTGTAGTACTAGAATTTCGAATAGAATGGGGTACGTTAATCGTTTGCTTGGGACCAATAGGCTAGTCAAGTAGTGAACCAAGTTAAAACCGTTAGTTTCCACCGGTTGCTAATACTACGTTCAGACTAGAATTGTTTAACTGGTTTTATAGAGCATGAGCATACAATTCAGTAGTTGCTACTCCGTGGTTAACCATATGTAAGTAAATTTGCATAAAGAACCATGTAAATGGAGTTTGGGATTAGCAATCCATTCTCGGTTCATGAGTTGATGGGTCCATAGGTAGGATCCAGGTGTGGGAGCTGCCTCCCTGGCGTCGGTAGCATTGGTGCTCAGCACGAAAACAAGATCGACGGAAAACAAACCAATGAAAAAAAAAACATCACACATATATTATGACATATGTCATTACTTATGCATTATTTTTATGTAGCATTTATTTCATGGTAATGGGTAATGAAATTATTATATATTTATTTTATTTTTTTTTTAATTTCTTCATAGTCCGTTCCTGTGAATACGACCCTGCAACGAAAAAAATCACTACCCGATGTTCAGCAGCTTCCGTACGCTACTAGTGTGATGAGCAGGGAGGAAGTTTCGATGCTAGGATCTGCCAGAAGAGAAGAAGTTCGACGGCAGATAGACGAATCAGAACGTTTAAAAGCTAATCCATTGTTATATCTCGTCAGTCCAAAAGTTAAGGTAGGTATTTCATACTTTATTTGCTATAATAATAGCTATTTATCCAACAAGCTGCAAAACGAAGATTTTTTCAGCTCGAAAATATGAGTTCTTTTTACTTAATATTGAGTTCAGTTAAGGGGTTACGCCATCCTAGAATACAGAAAAATGCACCAACTTCATTATTTTTTTTTGTTATTTAATAAAGTCACATACTAAATTAACTTTATGGGCTTATAGTACACATAATTAGGGGTGCTTACAGTATTTTTTCATAAGGGGAAACCATGTGTGGCAGTTGGCAGCACTGCGAGTTCCTGGCACTGCTTCCCGTGTAGTGTTACGCGGCCCACACTTTCTTCGTCGTAAATATGAACCTAGAACAAAAACGAGTGGTTTTTCTTATTTATATAAGAATACCTAGAGAAGTACATAAGGAGATGAAAAATTTTTGAATTTTACGCAAATGGGACATGTTTTTGGAAAAAAACAGTTTTTTTGCCTGAAATTTGTTTCTAAAATTGTTTACCACAATTGGATTTTTTGATCAATTAAAAAGTTCGTATGTACTTCTCTAGATAATTAATCAGAGAATGCAATCGTCAAAGTCTAGATCAAATTGAGTCAAAATTGCAGATGCTATCGTGTGGGCCGCGGAGAGAAATGTTGTATCGAAAAAAAACGCGGTTGAAGTTTGAGGTACAGATTCAGGTGCGTGATGCAAAGTTTTGTAATTTCGCTTATAACTTTCGGAATTTTAATTTTTTTCGACATGGAACCAATTGTCCCTTATTCTTGACACTTCAGAGTACCTTTTTATGTAAAAAAAAATCGATTTTTTGAAAATCCTAGGGTGGTGTAACCCCTTAATGTTGACCCAGAGTTGCTTGGACTAATTTCGCTTTTGAAAATGCTTTTTGGAATTATGAAATCATTACATGTTAAAATTATATTTTGTACTTGTATGTTACAAGAAGAGGTTGTGAAGCACGTTTGACTCATAAAACCTGTTAATATCCCTTTTAGTGAATCATAATTATCGTTTTTTTTTTACTTTTTCACTCACTCGATCATAAAAATCAACATCTATCATCTATTCATTGCAAAATTCCGAAAACCAACCCAATGCAATAATTGTGGGATGTTTTTTAATGAAAGTGTTCCTTGCACCCTGATTCGAACTGAGCCATGCTTTACTTACAAAAATTGGCTTATGTAACTGGCACACATACTAATTTTCTTCTATGTAACCTCGGTATTTTCTAAAAAGTAAATAACCCATATTTATATTTTACCTTTGAAAAAACTACCAAATATTTGTTTAGATTCATATTGCTTAACTCCGCTGTCGGCAGCCCGACATTTTTGATCGGGATTTAATTAGAGGTTAACACTTGTTAGAGCTTACCACTATAAGATTAATACCTTTTAAGAAATTTGTCGCTAAAATTTCATTAAATATATGTATTATGGTGGTTCAAAATATCGTTTTACTCAAAACAATAACAACAATTCGCTGTACCATCCCTACTCTTACCTGCAGCAGAAAATAAAGAAGAAGAAGAAAATGTAGTTTTTGCTCCACCAGCCTCAATCGATTTCAAATAAGGTCCTGATAATTCTCCCAAAATTTGAGCTCATTAGGATGCGAACTCATACTGCACTGGCCCTTTGAAGTTTATGCGGGAATTACTATGGATGTTGTGACCGCAGCCGCAACGAACCACCATCGGGAAAGTTTCAGTGTAGTAAGCTTCGCCGTACCCCTTAAATAGCAAAAGTCCACACGAATTTCCTGCAAAAAAAGTGACGTAATTTGACATTGGGCGATTGAAAACTGATCGTTCACCCTTCGTCCGGGATGCGACGACGAAGGGCGGACCGCTATGCTAGAGTAATTTCATCCGCCGGGCTACCAAATGGCGGATAGAACTTAGCAATTTCCCACATACAGTGGGCGAGTCGCCAGCAGCGTGCTCACGGACCGCCCGGCGGGCTTGGGCGGAGTGACCCCGCGGCGCTATTTGGTCACCCTTTGCACGCCCCCGCGGCGCCGGCGCGCATATTTCCAACATTTGAGCGCGTGAGGCGAAAACGATACCTGTCAAAAAACTGATCGTTTCAGCCATTTTTTCCGCCATTTATCCGCCCCATATATTAAGTTATAAGAATATGATAAATAAAGTTTATTGATGAAGTCATGTTTATGCTTACACAATTTTATTTTTATTAAATTAAAACCCATTGAAAAAGAAAATGGTGGCAAACAACCGGGGAGTGCACCGGGGTGGATGGGGGCGGATAAATGGCGGACCAAATGGCTGAAACTATCAGTTTTTTGACAGGTATCGTTTTCGCCTCATGTGCTCAAATGTTGCAAATATGCGCGCCGGCGCCACGGGGCGCGCAAAGGGCGACCAAATAGAGCCGCGGGGGCGCTCCACCCAAGTCCGCCCCGTCCGCTGGGCGATCCGTGGGCGCGCTTCTGGTGACTCGCCCGCTGTATGTGGGAGATCTTGCACTACATAACATTACTAAACCAATAAAAACTACCTACATTAAAATTAATCGTGGACTTAGTCGATTTTTTCTTGGGTAGATTTTCTCGATAATTTTTCAGACTGCAGTGAGATGTAAACCACACTTCTGCATTGTCCACGAGCAAAATTCTTTCACCACGCTGCTCCTCAACATTTTTCAACTTAAAATTCGGAAATTTTAAAATATTTTTGTAATTTTGTGCTTGTAAACAGTACCACTGAACTGTCAAAAAAGTTCAGCCGATTAACACTGAGTTCATTCGTGACATCACGCTGCAGAACATAAAGACAGATAGCACTCTTTTTCTTTTTCCTTGATTTGTTTTCCGTCGATCTTGTTTTCCGTGCTGAGAACCAATGCTACAGACGCCAGGGAGGCATCTCCCACACCTAGACCTTACCTATCGACCCATCAACTCATGAACCGGGGACCAACGGCTTTACTTCCCTTCCGAAGGAAGGCGTGATCAGAGATGTTATGCCTCAAAACATCCCGGCGGTGCCGACTGGGATTGAACCCAGTCCTGCTGGTGTGAGAGGTAATCACGCTTACCACTACACCACCGGCACCGCTAGATAGCATGGTTTTGTAAATCATTATGTCAATCATTATGCTTTTTGTAAATCATTATGGTGAAGGTCTATAGGACGTTGAGAGCAAAAAGTTCATTTTTCCCATATTCGGAGAACTTCAAAATTTAGGCGTAATTGCTATTATTAACAAATTAGTCAATCGCTGATTTCTTGCGAATAAAAGCTCAATCTTGCAAGCAACTATTCCAAATGACAGAGGAATAATTCCTCTACATGAGTGTGTTGTTAGTTTTCTAGGCTGAGTTTTTATTCGCGAGAAATCGGTGATTGAAGTGTTTGTTTACAATTACTCCCAAATCTCAAATCCGGAGTGATTTGAGATTTGAGCGTAATTGCATTTGTAAACAAACACGTCAATCACCGATTTCTCGCGAATAAAAGCTCAATCTCGAAAAGTAATAACACTATGAGGTAGAGGAATGATTCCTATATCATTTGGTATAGTTTGTTTGTGAGATTGAGCTTTTATTCAAGAGAAATCAGTAATTGACGTGTTTGTTTTCCAAAGCAATTACGCCCAATGATCAGGACCTGACTTGGAATTGATGGAGCTTGGTGGAGCATTTTGAAACATATTTTGAAACACCCTAATATTATGGTGGTAAAAATTATCAATGGAACGTCAGGAAAATTTATTATTTGATAATTACATAATATATAATTCAAATCAGAATCAGTGGGATCATGATGAATGTACACGAGGATTAATCCCGGTGGTTCCAGTGAAGAGTTAACATCTCTTCGCGTAAAGATTGAGGATGTTTGGGAGGAGTAAAAGGATGATAGTTCTTGACATTTGACAAAATGACTGCCGGAAAAAATTACATTCGACGAAAAATTATAAATCCATCATTTATAATTTTAATTTGTTAGCTCCTGTTATGTTATAAACAAACTAATGGATTTATTTTTTTCGTTTCAGGATTGGTTCTCACGACAGCAACTCGTCATGCTGGTTTTAATTATAAATATAGCTTTGGCAATTATGTTCTTTAAAATGCTAACATAGCATCAACGGGACCCATTTTTGCATTTCAGCACTTTTCTGAATATAATGGATGTATATTAGAAAAAGCAGAAATGAGGATGATATTTAAGCGAACATTATGGGATAACTCTAATCACTGCTGCGCGTGCTAAAGCTGTTAGAACAGCACAAAGACACTTCTATACTTTGAATTCGCTATTCAGCCAGCTGCCATCGTTTGCCACTAGACTGAACGAGTAAGTCAAGTGTGAGATCATTGAGATTGGTGTTGTTACGAAAATTTAGTTGTATTTTTTCGTTAATTATATGTACATTTAATTTTCTTAATACTTTATCTAGTGTTCAACTTGCATCATCTCTGAATGCCCAGCCCACCTTTCTACAGCTTCTTACCAGTTCAAACCAGTTTTAAAATGTTTATATTCAGTTAATTTGACAAAAAAAATACATCAAATCCTTTTACAAATTGTTACAACACAATTAGTGAAAGTCCTCTGAACCGAAGCGAATCAAAGCAGTACATAACGAAAATAAATAATCGATGTCGAAATAAAGTATCCTTATTTGTTATGAAACATGTTGCTGTGCTATCCGGAAGAATAAAATCACTTTCCTTAACCCTTGCTAATTCATGAAATCTTCTAGTGTGGTATTTTTTGTATGTTTTATTATTGTTTATTTTCCGTCGGTCTCTGTTCCACAATAGATATTGAACCCATCAACATATGGGCCAAGACCAAAGGCTTTACTTTCCTTCCAAAGGAAGACGTGACCAGAGACTTTTATGCCTCAGAAATTCCCAACGGCCTCAACTGGGAACCCAGACCCAGTCACGCTTACCACTCAACCACCGGTGCCGTATTTTATTACAGGAGATGGAGTACGTGGAGTTACGTAAGCATGTAAAACTCAAACACAGAACATTTAAATATATTGTTACAAGTGTAAGCCAAGATTGTTGTGATGTACCTTCTGGAGTTTCCGTATATTTTGATATTAAAAAACCATGAAAGTATTTGCATGTTTGAGATAGGTAAAATATCCCAATTGCACGAAAAAGGTTAATTTTGGGTCCTTTTACGGGTAAAATGATTGAAAACTACACACAGAGTTTAGATTACCGAAGTCGAAAAAGTTTTACTGGGTTTTTAAACAGCTGAGTTTTCAGTAATCAACCCAGTAGTTTTTATTTTACTGAAAATTCCGTAAAATGCAGAATCTCTGAACTGTCAAAAATTACCGTTTAACTCAGTAGAAGAATTGCTGACTTTTTCAGTAATTTATTTGTTTACATTTTTTTGCTGAGTTTGTAAGTATTTTTATTTTAGTATTTTGATGAATAAGTAAGTAAATACATCAAAAAAGTTCCAGGATTAAAATGATTCCATTTTTTTATGATTTTTATTTTGGGACTGAGTTTCACGTTTAGCGCTTCCTGGTGGTTTAGCCGGTTGGTTGGTAACTATCTTGGTGTGCCGGACTGCATGTCCATGCCTGGAGGTAAAAGGCAATGTTAGTGAATGTTTTTCCTTCAAAATCATTGAAACATCTGAAGTCGATGCAGAAGTACATAAACTGCCCAATTGAGTGGCAGTTTCTGCACTCTAGCGTTGGTTTCCAGATGTTTCACTTATTTGCACAAAGGTTTTATATTATCTCACAGAGATATCCGGGGTCAAGTGCGCGAGGTGAAACGGAAAAACATAATAAATACTGAAAACTCGGTACACAATTTTACTGAGTTTTAGTCATTCACCGTAAAGCTGTTATTTTACGGAAGATTCAGTACATACTATTACCTTATTCAGTAGTTCGTTGCAAAAGTTACTGAACATCAGTAGTTTTATCGAGAATAGCTGAATGTTCGGTATTTTTTGTGATTTACAGTTTGAAATCTGTAAAAAAAAAAATGACCAAACAGGGAAGCCGTGATTAAGTCTGTACACAGTTAATTTATTTCACCGAGGACGTCAATTTTTTTTGCCGAGAATCCAACAGCTGAGATTTCGTTAAAAATGTCGGTAAAAGTTCAGTTTACCGAGAAATTAGCAACACATAAATTCAAACAACTGTCAAATTTTAACGATAATTTCGGTACGCGATTACCGATATATCCTGAATTAACATAGCCGAATTTCGGTAAAACGCTTTCCATTTTGCAGAATTGATCCGCAAAATCTTGTAATTAAAATTCTTGGGTTTTACCGAATTTCATTAAAAAAAAACATATTAGGAACTACCGTTTTTCTTACATTTTTTTTAAATAAAAGAAGTGTATTTCAGTTTTGGACATATCTTTTACTGTGCACATCTCATAAAACATCATCGTAAAACCAAAACGTATATACTTAAAAATATAAAAATCTTTAAAATCAATCTTCAAGGGATCTAACAAATTTTTCCCCTGTAGTGGAAATTGAGGAAGTGGAAAAAACAACAGCTTTGAAGAAAAGCAAAAATTGTTTGTCAGTCGGAGCACAAGTTGTTCCAAATACAATAAAGCACTGACACAGTATGCCAAATGCCTGAACAATGTTACTACCCACTGGAATGTTCACGTTGTTCCAGGAAATGAAACATTGTTCACCTGGTGTCATACTGGTCCCCCTGATGGCTAGTACAGGATTTTTAAAACTTTCCGGAAGCGGGTCGTCCAACTAGAAACGTTAAGAAATGATCTGTAATTTATTTTCTTTTAAATTTCCATTGCTAATTTACCTTAATCCATTGAAATAGTCCGATTAGAGGGTTTTCCTTCGATGCATCTTCGTTGCGCAAACGTTTCGATCCTCGAGTTGGATTTTTTATGCGAATAATTGCAAGCGCTCTCAAAAAATCTAAATACCAAAAATACAATATTGAATGAAAAAATACCATAAAATTGCATGTTGGTACACTTACCATCAGAGATTTCTTTGAACATGTATTTGTATGAATGAAGCACTTTATGCTGCCAGCATGCCCATTCTTCAGTGAAAACGACATTTCGGCTAGTCATCCGTTTGAAATCATATTCAATCTGAAATTTAAATATTCATATTATATTTAGTGGTAAAAGAAGCTGGTATTTGATAAAACGCTTAATAAAAAGAGCTTCGATAAAATTTTCATCTGAATCAAATTATATGCGAACAACATTTAAAAAAAACTTACTAGTTCTCCATGAAATGCAGTTGAAACAGGAAATTCTTCTAAGAAGGACATGAAATCATTATTAGAGCGATATTGACACCGAATTGCAAAAGTAGATTCCCATAACTGAATGATGCGATTTCTGTTTTCCGGTACGGGAACAATAAACTTGAGCTCCTCAATCTGTAAACAAGTCAGAAATTTTAATTAAACTAAACTAAGTGTGAAATTAATGCTTCAACAAACCATTGCAAAAAGATCAGTTTCAGATACACATGCATCTTCATGTTTCACGGATTGCTCTTTTTCCATTTTATGTGCATTCCTTTTGAACACCCGCCCTTCTGCTCGTTTAGCAAGATATTCCATATGATAATGTATCTTACCGGCATGCTTCCCATCGCCTCTGCCATTCAAATAGAACCATAGTGCCTAAAATAATTATTGTTCTATGAAATTGAACATGTTCATATATATATACCTATATATGTTAAATTGGCATAAATTGAGGGACATACTTAAATAATACTTACATGCGGTACAACTGAGACAGATGACGCCAAAACGGGATAGGACCGGACCAAAGATTTCGCTAGCATGTTTTTGTAGTAGGTAGAAGTGCGTCTAAAATAAAGGATTGGCAAATATAATATTCATTGTATTGTAAATTGAATTATCGCAATAGTTGTAATGTCTTAACGGTTCGTTGAAAGTGCAAGTTTGCATTTTTTTTTGTCTGTGCACTAAAACGTGTGCTTTTGCCACATTTTGAAAGTATACACAAAATTTGGTGATAATCCTATTAGTTCATAATGGAATATTCGATGGAATGCTATACGACACTTGATTTGCAATTTTGCCATTTGATTTGAAAACTGGAATACCCCTGTAAAGACAATCGATTTTTCATACAAAGCGTTGGAAGCGAGGTTGGAAGAAGTGCGCTGTATAGCGTATCCACAGACAAACAGACATAACACATTGAATATTTCTCACTGTAAAACATCGTCGCTAAAACATGACCGCCATCTGTTGAGTACACTGTGGTGGGCACTAAACTGAACAGATGGCGGTAGTGTGTAAACGTCAAACGCAAGGAAATCGACTATGCGCGCCACAGGTGTCGGTACTACCAACTACGATACGTTTAAATTGTCCGTTAAATGCTTGTTCGATGAACAAATTGCGAGAGTTATGTCTGTTTGTCTGTGGCGTATCATTTGTGATTGCTGCACACTACGTCCAGCAATATGTATAAAACGTATAGAAAAAAAATGTTGCCTATCGCTAATGGCCGTTCCAGTTTTCAACTGGCATGACAATATAATATACATTTGATTTAATCACACTCACACTCCATAGTTCAATTTAAGAAAATTGCATAGAAGATGTGTAATCCTCTTTATGGTTTTGTCGTTAGGTTTCTTGGCTTCACGTAGAGTTTCAATTAAATCATTTCCTTCTTCAGTCTTGGAAAAGATTATGTTGATATCAATTTCCTGAAAAAAATCAAAACAAATCCTTTTTAGAAAAACCCGAAGGAAACCGAAGGAATTACCTTCGTTACCCAACAAAAATTAATTCTCTCGTTGAACATTTCAAACGGTCCTATCTGCTTTGATCGATTCTCTTCATCGACTTTCTCTTTTCATATTCACTGCTATGCAAACATATTTCGTGCTAATTCTACCACACAGTTTGATAAAGGAGGTTCTTATCTAGCGTCCAAAACAGGGAAAGGTTTTGCAGCTGAGTTATTGACGAAAGAGAAAGTTGATAAAGAGAAACGATCAATGCAGATAGGACCTTTTGAAATGTTTATCTTAATGTAAACACGGTCTCCTACGCAATTGACGAGTGCCCGGATGGATTTGAGTTCACTCACTCGACAAAAAGTGACACAACAGCGGGGCCCTGTTTACTAGAAATGAACATATATGTATTCATTTTTAGTAAACAGGGCCCCGCTGTTGTGTCACTTTTTGTCGAGTGAGTGAACTCAAATCCATCCGTGCACTCGTCAATGCAGGGGTGGGATGTGGCTGTCAAATACTATTCAAGCTGAACATTACATTAGGTCCTAAGGCTGTGTTCCATTTGGCGAATTTTCACTTAAACTTGACAGATGGAAAATTTCCAAATTAACCTGCTATTCCAGCAGACTTATATCTGACAGACAAGGAATCAACTTTGACACACACCTTCTCGAAAATTGGCCGATCAACAACAGAGGGATTTTCGAACATTATAATTTAGTTTCGAAGTGTCAAATTTAAGTGAAAATTCGCCAAATGGAACACAGCCTAAGGCTGTGAACCATTTGCCAAGTTAAATTTAACTCGTGGTTAAAAGTGACATTTCGAAAGTTATTTTCTATGTTCGAAAATCCCCGTGCTGTCGATCGACCGGTTTTCGAGCCACGGTTGTCAAAATTTAACTTCTTGTCTGACAGAAATAACCATGCTCGGATAGCAGGGTTAATCGATAACTTTTCATCTGTCAAATTTTAACCAAAAGTTAAAATAATCCACCAAATGGTTCAGAGCCTAAGTAACATTGACAGATTCTCTTCGTCGACTTTTTTTTTGTATCCCCACGGCCATGTGAAGACATTCACAGGTATTTTCAGCACATAGATCGATAGAAGAAGCTTATAGCATCTAATAGGAAAAACACAACAAGAAACGGTTATGTGCTCAAGTTATTAACGAAAGATAAAGTCGATGAAGAGAATCGATCAATGTTACTTAGGACCTAATGCAATGTTCAGCTTGTATTCTTTTACTATTTTACGATCAGCACCAGGGTGGCCAGACCTACCGATTTATCGGTAGTCCTACCGATTTTCGGGGTGCCTACCGATTCACAGACGAAAGGTTCAAAACTACCGATTTTACACTTTTCCTACCGAGAATCACAGATTTTTAGAATATAATAAGAAAAATTGATTTCGACACGTTTAAAGCAGAAGAACTGAAGGACAGTGTATTGTTCTGGAGCAGAGACACCCCCCCCCCCCCCGCTCACAAAAGTTTCAAGTATCTGGAAAGCCTTCTTAAGTCGACCTACCGATAACTACCGATAAAAGTTTTGAGAAGCTACCGATAATGAAAAAAATAATCTGGCCACTCAGCACACCAAAAATTCAATTGCACCTTTGCTTACAAACATAAATGATGTTAACTGTTAGCGCCTTGCCTTTTTGGTGCTGCGCAAAATCGAATACGACATTACATCGGCATCAACTTTTCAAAAAGATGAACTTGCTGTTTTAAGTTGGTAAAGGAGATCAGATCAGATTCTGTGTGCTGAAAATACCTGGGAATGTCAGTAAAGACAAAGTCGATAAAGAAAATCTGTCAATGTTATTTAGGGGCTAATGCAATGTTCAGCTTGAATTGCTGCATCATCTGCAGAGATCTGCAGGTCCCAGTGAAAGTCAGGGTGGCCAGACCTACCGATTTATCGGTAGTCTTACCGATTTTCGGGATGCCTACCGATTCACAGACGAAAGGTTAAAAACTACCGATTTTTCACTTTTCCTACCGAGAATCACAGATTTTAAGAAATCTTGAAAAATGTTCAATACCTACAGTTGTGTTCAATATAATAGCAGCGCATGCCGATTTCAATAAAAAAAATGGTCATCTTTGACATGATGTAACTTAACAACACACTAAGATTATTTCACCGAAATCTGTGAAATTTTACCAAAATCTCAACAGCTGAACGTTCGGTAAACAGTTCGGTGATTTTTCACAGATTTCCTGTAATTTTTTACCGAACATCAGTGAAAAATTACAGGAAATCTGTGAAAAATCACCAAACTGTTTACCGAACGTTCAGCTGTTGAGATTTCGGTAAAATTTCACAGATTTCGGTAAAATAATCTAAATGTGTATGATCAATTGAGCTGAAACGTTGGCAAAATAACAAATTTTTGGAAGCACCTGTTGAAAAGTGAGATACTAGGTAACTTTTTTTTTAACTATTATATACACTTGTTAATTGAGTGGGGATTGTTAGAATGTTGAGTAATGTAAAATTTAAAAACTCAAAATTGAGCTGAAATGCAAATTATTAGTACTGCTATTATTTTGAACAATTTTTCCTAGTGTCTCACTTTCCGGCAGGTGCTTCCAAAAATTTGTTTTTTGTAATCGTAAAATTGAACATATTTGTAGTTCTGTGGTGAACGTTTCAGCCCAATTTATCTTAGGAGAACAAAGTTACAACTTTTCAAAGCTGATTATTTTGTATGGAAATCGGCATGCGCTGCTATTATATTGAACACAGGTGAATGTGTTGTTTTCCGTGTAGTCAGAAATAGAAATATTGATTTCGACACGTTTAAAGCAGAAGAACTGAAGGACAGTGTATTGTTCTGAAGCAGTGTCCCCCCCCCCCGCTCACAAAGGTTTCAAGTATCGGGAAAGCCTTCTTAAGACAGCCTACCGATAACTACCGACAAAAGTTTTGAGAAGCTACCGATAATGAAAAAAATAATCTGGCCACCCTGGTGAAAGTGCATTGTTTTGTTGATAAGTAAGTTGTAGAGTTCAAATGAAAGTATCACTTACTATATAGAATATCAATATATAGTGAAATGACCCAAGTTTAAACCCGAAAACAGTATAAGTGCTGGTCTTACCCGTTCCAAACTGATTCCGGTATAGGGATTCGGGTCGTCGTTTATTTCCAGATCTGGGTGCTCTTCCGTATTTGGTTGCTCGTCGCATTGCATTGCATTGACCTCTGTCGGATGTTCATCAGCGGCAGTAGCATCAGTATCGTCGTTCTCAAGGTACTCCTCTTCTATTATTTGCTCAGAGAGAACAGATTTTTGAATTTTCTGGATTATTTTGATAGCTTTCGTGTTCAATTCAAGGCGTTTGAAATCAGACTCATTAAGGGACATAAAAATTTCATGCTCATCGATTTCTTCGGCAACTGAAAAAAAGGAGAATGTATTAAAGCAACGTATCTCATAAAAATATATCTAAATTACTCAATAACGTTCAGTAATCCTGACAATAAAAGCGGCGCGATACGTATTTTGTTTGACTGTCGTATGGTGACCAGATAGCAAAAGTGGTATGCAGGAAAACTTCAACATCCTGAAGTAGCCTTTCTTCATTCAATTCTTCAACTTCATAGGCCTCATAGAAATCATTGTAATCAATTGTCTGGCAGATTTTCACAAGAAAATTAATCATGTTGTTTATAATGACAATTTCTTGAATAACTGCGAACGTTGAATACAACATGTTGTTGTGATTTTTAAGGGAAATGATCAAATTCGGCCGGAAATCGATACCGTTAATCGTAACATTCATAGGAATAAACACAAGATCCTCGCATTCCGCCAAGAAGTTGTTGCTAAGTGTCTTACTGCGATGAATAATTTTACCAGATTTGTAATGTACTTTTTCGGTAAATGGATTATCTATGATATCCAATGTCATGGTAAAACATTGTCGCTTTGCCAAACTTTTACAAATATTTTTGAAATTTCTACAATTGGCGGTCTGAGTTTTGCAAGGTTTGTTTTTTTGCTCAAACGATAAACAGTTGAACTGTTTCATACTTCCACTTTTTCTTATGCAATAGGGGTAATGCTCCATATGGTGACTTTTGTTTATTCGTTTTTGAAAATGGTCGTAAAAGGATTGTTGGAATTGTCTTATGTGTTCTTCAAGTTCCGCAAGCATATAGTCCGAAACGATGGGGGACATTAGAATTCTTACGATATTTATCAAATGTCCAATCAACGACATATACGGGCAATCCACTGGAACTTTGTGCCCGAACAGAAAAGGAAATGAACGTAGTAGTAAGACATTCTGTGATGAAGTCTGCTTTATTTTACATGCGTTAGATTTGCTCAGCATCTCTTCCGTAAAATTTGACGATGGTTTATTTTTCCTATCAACATATCCGTAGGCAAATGTGTTGACTCGATAGTTAATATATGAAATATCAAGATCGAATTCTTTGTTTTTCAAATAACGATTCAGAACCAGCTGCAAGGTCAACGGAACAATACCTTCGGCCATGTCATGCATTACATCAAGTACGTAATTTTCGCAGACATGGAAATTGTTTAATTCATTTAATATGCACCCTTGAGGATGCAATCCACATTCCGTTGATGTAATTTCGCCTGATTGCAGTTGTTGCATCTTGGTTTCATACCAAGCCTTGGTTCTAATCGGATGTTGGGCATGTGGATCTTCCTTGAACATTGGCCTTGAAATGGTACAAATCCTGCAGAAAAAATTGGCTCCCGGTCCCAGTAAATTGAACACATCGTGTACTGCTAAGGTGTCACCAACAAACGCCGCCAGTGATGCTCTAAGGACGAACGATTCAGAGCCATAGTACACAGTAACACCAGTTTCCAGCTTTTTCATGTCTGATACCAATGGTTGCAATATTTTATTATAACCATGCTTTTTAGCATCGACCGAGGTACAATATATTAACGGGAAAATACTCTTGGGAGAACTGTTAAACTTGTCAGGGAAGTTCTGGATTTTGAAAGAAAAGCATGATACTTTGTTAATACCGGCTCTACTGCTCAACGCATTTCCTAGTTCCACATCATCCTGGTATATACTCAATCGGATAACGTTGGGGTGCTTGTGAAAAAAAATACTGTCTTGATAGGCTTCTCCAGTACAAAAAGAGCTGTATTCTTTCGTTGTGCCAATCGATTTCAGCTCATTTTCAGATTCCTCCAAAAGTTTTCGATTCGACGGGTTTCTAAAGATCAGTTTGATCGTTTCGATAACGGGAATATAGGAAAATGTTTCAGGCACTCGAATTTTTTGATGCTTTCCTTGCACATGACGGACATCTTCGCGATAGGATAACATTTTTTCCGTTGGCTCGGGAACTGAAACTGCAATTTTCTTCAAAAATTTAGTTCTTTTGGGGAACGTCGTGACTTCTGAGAAAATACCAGAAAAATTAAACTCGTTCAAAAAGTCTACCGTATTTTTTTCGATTATGTCAATACCGTTATCTTGTAGGAAAGTCATAGTTAAAATTCGTAGACGTTGTGACATCATTTCAACCAGATTGTCACAAAGATCAATGATTTCTACAGATTTGGATTGTGGAAGCCCTACGTCTCCTACAAGTCGGCAAATCCCCACTCCAGCGGCTTTCTTAATTTCCTCCAGAGTAATAGGTGTTTGGTTGAGGTTTTGATTCCTGGTTCGTCTAAATGGAACGTATTCGGCAGTCGCTTCCTCTGCCAAGAAACTTCGCTCAGGTTGCTCCGAAAGAGAGCTTAACCTCACTTTTTTTATTGGAGGGATATTAGAAAGGATCTCAAAATTTGGAGTGACATCCATTGAAGGTCTAGCTCCACCAGATAATGATGGATGCTCATGTAAAATATGCCGCTTCAGAGAAGTAAAATGAGCATATGTCATTTTGCACATCGAAAAAGTGCAATTGAATGTAATAAAAGCTGCATTAAAATGGTTTTCTTTCATGTGCACATTGACATGGCGTTGTAGGCCATCGACGTATCCCGGTACAAGCTGCTTACAAAAAAAGCAGAGTATCGCATCTGCCAATTCCATATAACTCTAAAAAAGAAATAAGTTAATACTTACGAAGAATTTGTTTTAGTTTACTCCTCACTGGCTCTGCTTCAGCCTCGATTTGAAGCATAATATCTTCCATTCTCACAAAATGTCGCGACTATTTCCTGACTAGCAGAAGCACAACGCAAACGCACGCTTTCACGTCACTAGAGAAACTGAAAAATGGCGGACACCACTTTAGATTGTTTTCCTGGAAAAGGAAGTACAATTGCTGAAGCTCAGCGAATTCTTTAACCAATATCGGTAGTTGCTTATTTTTTCGACTCTCTCAGCAATTTAAATTGCCGAAAGTCAGTAAACTGTTTTTGGTACCGAAATAACGACAATAATTGTTAACGAAAATCAGTAAAAACAACTATTGTAACGATAATTTGGTAAAAATCACGCTTTACGGGAGGTTTTCGGTACCACGATTTACCGAGATAAAAATTTAAGTTTAAGTGTGTAATGCTGTGAAAATTAGTACATTTACCCTTAAAGAATTTACACTGTTTTACGTTTGGAGGTTCAACAGAGAATGTCTGCTCTGATTTATTTCAACACGTCGTTAGCTCCGGCCTGAGCTTATCTTTTCTTGACATACACGCGTGCAAGTGCCTGGAACGGATGGTCAACAGGAGGCTGAAGCAATATCTTGAGGCCAAGGGGCTGCTTAACCATCGGCAGCACGCCTTCAGGCAAGGGTATGGCACCTCCACCTACTTCGCCATTCTTGGGAAAGTCCTGAAGGAGCCAAAGGATCAAGGTCATCACGCGGAGATCGTCTCACTGGACATCTCCAAAGCGTTCAACCGAACATGGACACCAGCTGTATTGAAGAAGCTTGTTGATTGGGGCCTGAAAGGACACATCCTTCACTTCATCCGGAACTTTCTGACCGACCGATCTTTTCGGGTTTCGGTTGGAAACGTGCAATCCGGAAGTTTCGGTGAGGAAACCGGAGTGCCACAGGGTTCGGTGATCGCGGTCACCCTCTTCCTGGTGGCCATGAATGGGGTCTTTGACCAACTACCCAAGAACGTTTATATCTTCGTCTACGCGGATGACGTCCTCATTGTAACGGTGGGTCCCACCCTGCAGAGGATGAAACTGAGAGCGCAACCATCTCTCGCCCCCACCGATCCAACAATCGCGAAATCCGTTTCCGCGAAGCTCAAGCCATCATCGACAGTCGCCTACTGTACGGTGTAGAGATTACATGCCTTGCCGCCGAGAAAGCCATTCAGATTTTGGAACCAGTGTACAACGACTACGTTCGAACAGTCTCCGTTCTCCTGCCCTCAACCCCGGCCGACGCTGCATGCGTTGAAGCCGGTATCCTACCTTTTCGGGTCGTTTTCACCGCAGCTTCTTCTACCAAAGCCGCTGCCTTTCTCGTTAAAATGTCGGGAAACAACAGGATCGTACGGAGGCAAAAATTGGCAATCGCACAAGATCAAAATTGACAGCCGAATCAAAGACCCCTTCAGGGCAGGAAACAACTCGCTGGCTTTACGCCGGACAGTTGTCGAAACTCTCGGGGCGCACTACCAAGGTTATGAAGTTAGGTACACCGACGGCTCTCTCTCCAGGAGCGGAGTGGGAATGAGGCTCTGGAGATGGTCTGCTTGTGAGCAGATCGCTCCCGACCCAATGCTCGGTGTTCTCAGCTGAGGCAGTGGCCATTCTCCACGCGGTTAAGTTACCGGCCAACCGGCCGATATTAGTCGTAACTGACTCACACAGCGTGATACTGGCCCTAACAACAGAAACACCGAAGCATCCGTGGATCCAAGGAACGGTAAAGCACGCGCCGCCCAACACAGTATTCATGCGGGTATCCGGTCACTGCGGGATCCAAGGGAACGTAATATCCGACCACCTCGCCGGCTCAGGCCACACCGGACCCAGGTCAACTGGCAATGTACCGCTCCAAGATGTCAAAAAGTGGATCAAGCGGACGATTCGGAGAGCCTGGGACACCGAGTGAAAGAACAAAAGGACACACCATCTTCGGAAGATCAAGGCGACCACCGGAACCTGGAAGGATCAACCAAGCCTACGAGAACAGCGAGTGGTGTCAAGGCTGCGCACCGGGCACAGCAGAGTCTCCCACAACTTCGGAGGAACACCGTTCCGGAGGACCTGCGAAACCTGTGGAGTGCCAGCCACCGTGGAGCACATCCTCGTGAACTGCGCGGAGTTGGAAGACCTTCGGTCTGCCTTCGGCTTGGAGTCAATCAGCATTCGGAACCTGTTGGGAGACGAGTCCTCGGCAGCAGCCTTCCTAAAGGAGGCGAACCTTTACCACAATATCTGAGTGTTTCTTGTTTGTATTTCCATTTTGTTGGCCCTTTTGGCAGTTTTCTACACCTTTTCATTATAGCAAGATAAATGTACCACAGCCTAGATTGGGAATCTCCTTCTGAGAACCCAATTTTTTTTCTCCTTTTTTCAATCTTAAGAGATGAACTAGCCATATGGCTAAAAATCTATAATAAAGAAAAAAAAATGACATCACTTCGTTGTTGTCTCCCAAGGCCGTTACCGTTACATTTGGCCGTGGCATTTCATTCTGTTTAGCATGGCGAAGCTGGGACCGATGGGCCATTACCCGCACGTTTCCAGTTTCCACCAGGAAAGTATTTTTAGAAAAACGTTTTAAGAATATGGCTTTTAACCAACGTGAATGATGATGTGGATTATGGTTTTTATACCAAACCACATCGCCAGCCATCAGGTTTTCTAAAGGATTTTTTTTATTGTTATTAGTTTGGTATTTCATATTCAGTTCCTCATTTGGCTGATGTGGTATCATTTGTTGCTTATAATATTTTTTTAGGATTAATCAAGCCCACCACCGTCTTTGGCATAAAAGAAAATATCTTCTCCGATGGAAACATACCATCACTCGTCAAGGTGATATTCCGATAATTAATTAAAAACAAGTTAATCTGGTCCCCTAAATCCGAATCGGTAATTTCTTGATCCATTAGAAACTTTTTTAGCACTTCTTTCACACTGATCTTTCCGACTGGCCAGTGAATGAGGAATTATAAGGTGAGCTCTTAAGCACTTTCATACCTTGCCTCTCCAAAAATCTCACGAAAGCATATGAGTTGAAAGGAGGACCACCGTCAGAAACAACGACGTCAGGTAGCCCAAAACGAGCAAATACTCAACTAACTTTTTTAACACCTTACCACAATCAGTACCTTGCTTCATCCATTCCACTTCTATCCATTTGGAATAGCTATCCACAATCAACAAAAATGTATGATGCATGTAGAAAAAAAAAGTCAATATGAATCCTGCTAAATGGCCTAATTGTAGGTGTCCATTTGGATGTTAAAGGGTGATACGGTCAAAATTTGGTCAATATCAACTTGACGTATTTCTTTCAATTTTGCATTTAAAAAACCTGAACACCCCTCATTTTGAAGGTGTGTGTGTGTAGAATGTTGCTCCTATTTTGATTTTGGAATTCACTCTTCAGTTGTCAAAATGCCGTCCAAGCAAGAAGAGCAGCGTATCAAAATTTTGCTCGCGCATCGCGAAAATCCGAGCTACTCGCACGCAAAGTTGGCAAAATCGCTAAAAGTTGCCAAATCAACCGTTACAAATGTAATTAAAGTGTTTGGGGAACGTTTGTCGACAGCCAGGAAGTCTGGATCGGGGGGAAATCGAAAACCGGAAGCCGCTGAGACGACAAAGAGAGTTGCCGGTAGTTTCAAGCGAAACCCTAACCTCTCTCTCCGAGATGCCGCAAATAAGCTGGGTGTATCGTCTACAACCGTGCATCGAGCCAAAAAACGAGCCGGACTATCGACTTACAAGAAGGTAGTGACTCCAAATCGCGATGATAAACAAAATACGACGGCCAAAGCGCGATCCCGGAGGCTGTACACGACGATGCTGACGAAGTTTGACTGCGTGGTAATGGACGACGAAACCTACGTCAAAGCCGACTACAAGCAGCTTCCAGGACAGGAGTTTCATACGGCAAAAGGAAGGGGAAAGGTAGCAGATGTTTTCAAGCACATGAAACTGTCAAAGTTCGCAAAGAAATATCTGGTTTGGCAAGCCATCTGTACCTGTGGCTTGAAAAGCAGCATTTTCATAGCTTCCGGGACTGTCAACCAAGAAATTTACGTGAAAGAGTGTTTGAATAAACGTCTGCTGCCTTTCCTGAAGAAACACGGTTGTTCCGTACTGTTTTGGCCGGATTTGGCATCTTGCTATTACGGTAAAAAGGCCATGGAGTGGTACGCCGCCAACAACGTGCAGGTGGTTCCCAAGGACAAGAACCCTCCCAACACGCCAGAGCTCCGCCCAATTGAGAAATACTGGGCTATTGTCAAGCGGAACCTAAAGAAGACCAAAAAAACTGCTAAGGGCGAGCAGCAGTTCAAGGCAAACTGGCTTTCTGCGGCGAAGAAGGTGGACAAGGTGGCTGTACAAAATCTGATGGCAGGGGTCAAGCGTAAGGCCCGGCAATTCGGATTTGGAAAAGCGGAAGCCTAACTGAATATTTTTCCTGAAATTTATACTAATTGAACTTGAAAAAGAAATTTAATTTGATTTTTTAAATAAACGATTTCACCGATTTACACGCGTTTTCCCTTGACCAAATTTTGACCGTATCACCTTTAACCGCCATACTGTTACAAGCATCGCAACCAGACACAAAGTGTCCTTATTGATTCCATACCAGTATACCGTTCGCCTGGCGAATTGTTTCATCTTGACGATCCCGGAGTATAGTCGCTATATTCATAGTCTGGCGGATAGAATCTCGGGAACCAATTGAGCTGTCAAATAGCGGAACCAATCGAGCAAATCACGACTAACAACAGAAAAGAGCACATCAGTTGCTGCGAACAAAATTTCGGAAACCGTTTTCTCAAGACTCAAGGCTCGCCTACACAAACTAACACCATCTTTAGGTTGTGGAAAGTTTCCCTTATCCGATGATGCTGGCAGTTTATCTTCTTTTAGCGAGGAAAGAATAATTAACGTTTTGTTTATAAAAGTTGATAGTACCTTTTCAATTGTTGGTCTAAAATATATTAAATTGGTTCCGCTTTTTGATAGATCGAAAATCTATCCGCCAAACTATGAATATAGCGACTATATCCCGGAGTTGTTGG